GCTGATGTTACAACTATTATTTTATCTGTTGAACCTGTAAGACACTGATATCAAAATAGTTGATACACTTAGTCGGTACAGTACTTCCCATCAATAAATTGAATTAAGAGCAAGAATGGATAATGGAGATATCAACACAAGAAAGAGAAGGAAAAATTAATCCACACTTGTTGCAAGCTAGGGAAAATATGGATGACCAAACATGTTAATAATATGCTAGTACGTGTTAAGATATGATGCTCAATGTATAATTACTTCAGATATGAAAACAGGTAGACTATCTACATCCATTTTTTGTATGTGTATATATATATATATATAAACACTTGAGCTACTGATCCATATAGCAAAACAAAATTTGAGAAGTAAGCAAAGACCACCCCAAATAATGTATAGAAAGAGAGAACCAACAACAATATTGACTTACTTTCTCTCTGAACCTCTAATGCAAGATCTGCCATGAGTTGTTGCGTCTTGCAGTCAATCCATGAAACAATAATAGCATATTCTTTACATACAATTACACCTCCCATTTCCGAACTCTGCTAACAATCAGATCATATATATAAAATACTTGAGCTACTAATCCGTATAACAGGACAAACTGAGAAGAAGCATAGATCACCCAAAATAATGTAAAAAGAGAGGTAACAACCAACAATGTTGACATACTTTCTATTTGAACCTCCAATGCGAGATCTTTCATGATTTGTTGCATGTCATAGCCAATCCATGAAATAATAATATCATATTTGTTACAGGAAGGTACAACTTCCATTTTCGAATGCAGCTAACAATATGAAATAATAAAACTCTCTTTTAAAAAAAAAATAATATTCAAGATTAAGACACTTAGCAAAAGAATATTATAATAAAAATCTTTAAAAATAAATTACTCACCTTACCACACTACCACTTCCATGAATTCCTCAACTACCAATTCCGCACCGAAAAAATGGTATCAGAGCTAATGGATAATAAGAAACATAGTAAGAAACATACTATTAGAAAGTTAAGAAAAATAAGAAGAAAATTAAACAAATTATATTCAGAATATAAAGAACGCAATATCACAAAAACTGATAACGATAAATTAGATCAATTAATAGATAATATATCTAAAATAGAATATAAATACATTCGCTATTTAAAAATACAATGAATAGCGAGAATGACGATTATAAAGAAAAACTTACTGAAATAATAATAGCGAAAAAACAAGAATTAGAACATAGGCAAAAT